TCTATGTAGCATGGCCTCTAGCTCCCTCTCATGGCTAGTTCTGGTAACTTTACCTTTAGAAATCCACACAGTGGTGCCTCGCTTAATGGGCGCCCTGTTTAATGATGAAATCGCATAGCAATTAACTTTTTGCGATGTTTCCTATGGGGTAAATCGCTTTGCGATCACCGGTACCCTGTTTCGCTTACCGATCATCGCAAAGCGATGATTTTTTAACAGCTGATCAGCAGTTCCAAAATGGCCACCAGGTAAAAAAAATGGCCGCCCGCTGTTTTCTGGGACGGATTCCTCGCTTACTGGAAAGCGAAAATGGCTGCCGTATGGAGGATTTTTGCTTAAAGGTGAGTCTGAAGCCCATAGGAATGCATTGAAGCGGTTTCAATGCATTCCTATGGGCTTTTTAATAATTTGCTGCACCGATTATCATCGCTATGCGAGGCACCACTGTATTTCTAGGAAGTTTCTTTTACTATTTTCAGACCATGGATAAGTGAAGCAGTGGATGCTGATCTTGCAGATGGGGAGGGGTCCTACTGTATAGTTTGAAAAAAATGTTTAGACTATATCTGTACCACCTTTCTCCCAATTAGTGGACCCAAGGAAACTCAAAAATTATGAAAAGAGAAACCGGTAATAGGTTTGGCTGGAAGCAACCTGCCTGCAGTCTATCCAGTAATAATCAATTGTGTCTTCCCCACCTCTGAATTCAAAGGCAGCCCTGCCTCTCTGCTGTTTGCCTCCTTATTCCTTTCTGGTTTTTTTCTGTTGAAAGCATTTAGGAGTCTGTTGCTGAGACAGCCATGTTTTGTCGGTTTGCTGTTCAACTGTAGGTAAAGGAAACCATTTGTTCTTCCCCCAACGAATGTCTCAGAGTGAATTATTGAGACCGTGCCACTTGATGAGAAAAAGGGGTGAACTTCTTTGGAGAACTTGAAGCTATTTTTACTCTGTGCATCCTTGCACTTCTGCTATGCAGCCAGAGGAAGTTAAGGAAACTCTGCAACAGAGATTATGGTCAAGAAATCAGAAGAATATAGAGACTCGGAAGGGCAATTATGAAAAAACTAGAAAAATTCCTTGAGGATTTATCACTGGAGGGGGAGCGGGGGGGGGGGAGAGTCTAATTTGAAATATTGAGTTGAGAGCTTTAACAGTCCTACGGACCTTCAAAAAGACGAATAACTGAGTTCTAGATCAAACTAATCCTGAACTCTTGCTAGACACTAAAGTGCCAAAACATGGCTCTGAGAAAGCCAAAGTTTTCATCAGAAATTACTTTTCCCCTTCAGAATATTTGTGGAGGGGGGGGGGGGGGAGAGTCTAATTTGAAATATTGAGTTGAGAGCTTTAACAGTCCTACGGACCTTCAAAAAGACGAATAACTGAGTTCTAGATCAAACTAATCCTGAACTCTTGCTAGACACTAAAGTGCCAAAACATGGCTCTGAGAAAGCCAAAGTTTTCATCAGAAATTACTTTTCCCCTTCAGAATATTTGTGGAGGGGTTTGCGGGTGCTGTCTGTTGCCAAGTCCTTCATTACATGATTACTGCTTCCGGTGCATGCCATCCTCCATGATGTTCTCTGGAATTTATCTGCCACATCATGGGTAGCATTATAGTCCTCTCTGTTGCTTTCTTTGTTTATTTGCAAGAGTTGTGCTCCAAAAATGTGTACGTGGCTGCACATTTCTCCCTCATGGTCTTAAAAAGGACTCAAGACGGCTGACATCATTAAAAAGACAACAGTTAAAAGCTAAAAACAGTAAGCATACAAATATTTTAAAAGAATTAAACAAGTATTATATTAAAAATGGTCAACAAATTCAATACTAAAACACGTTTAAAACAGGATCAAAAGACATCCTGTCATACCATCAACATTCAAAAGATAACTCCATAAGATTTGTCAAAATTCTGAGGTTTGTGTCAAAATATGGATATTAAAACAGACAAGTCAACAGTGTGATTGAATTCTTTAAAACCCTCCGGTTTATGAAGGCGTGGATATTGTGCTTCTGTATTTAAGACGCAAAACGCCAGAGAATGGCCTGATATTGCTGCACAATATCATGCCCACATTACTGGCAAGAAAAAGGATGCCAAGCTTTAAATAGCAAAGGGCAGCCTGAATGTTGACAACACCAATGGCAGCAGTCAAGATGGTCTACAGGATGCCCTCTTGTGCTCACTACCATTCAGTAAGTGACACCAAGCAAGGGAAATCTCCATTTTTCGTAAGTTTACTAGTTCTCACCCAGAAGCAAAGCAATTTTCATGGCTGTTTACTGACAATTGTGAATTGTAAATTCAATCAATCAATCTTTATTTTGCGGTGTCTGACCCATTAAAGAATGGTAAATTAAGATTTGGCACTTTCTGACCACATATGCTTTTGATATTCTGGCACTTCTCTGGAAATATTTTTGTTCTGGAAAGGGCAGGGGAGAGGCACATGAGAAACAAGGACAATGGTAAAGATGTGAACTCTGTATGTGCACCTACCTTCTCCATTGGTTGTATTAAAGGGAAGTACTTTAAAGTAACCTAGAAACATGGTCAAACCAAATTCGAGACAGGATAAAGTCTTCATACTTGTGAATTTCGGCCGTCTTATGTTGACAAGACAATAAGAACTCTGACAGCTTTGTGAGATTCCTCACCTCTGGCTCATGGTATGATAAAGAGCGGTTTCTTAGAGACCACAAACTGGATGGATTTGTTTAAAAAAGAAATCAATAAAAAATCAGTTGCCAAGGTCTAAAATGTCTTTCTTTAAAAGCCAGAATCAACTAAGCAATCACTTCTTGCTTCTGAAAAACTTAGGAATGTCTTAAAGAATCAAGAAGGCCCTAGAAGAAGCAAAATAGGGTGGATAATAAAAATAGGGCTGATGAACCGATTTGTAATTCGTCAGGGGAAAGGTTTGATATTTGTGGTTCATGGGCTTCAACAAACCACAAATCAAGATGAACCACTATTTCCCTGGTTTGTGCCCATGTCTGCCGTGCTCTGGTCCATGGGGTCACGAAGAGTCGGACACGACTAAACGACTAAACACACACACATATATCTGAATTGACTTGACAGGACACGATTTTTGTTAAGGTGCCTAGGCAACACAATTTTCATTTTGGGGGCTAAAGACTTTTGTTTCCAGGGTGCTTCAGGAAGACCACGGCAGTGCAGACCAAGATGATGTAATCTCAAGGCTTCCTACTGTCAGAAGAATGAAAACGAGGTCCTTTATTAGTCCAAGTGGGCAGAAGGTATAACCAGAGATAATCTGAGGCTATCCAGAAGTGCAATTAATTTGAAGATTGATTTAAATCACAGCAGATAAACAGTAGATAAGATTCATAAAATGAAGACACAATATAAAAGAAATCAAAAGAAAATCAATAAATTTCCTACAGTGCAATGCAATGGTCAAATAAAGAGTGGAAAGCAGACCAACCTGTATTTAAGTACAGTGGTGCCCTGCTGGACGATTCGTGCAATGCAATGGTCAAATAAAGAGTGGAAAGCAGACCAACCTGTATTTAAGTACAGTGGTGCCCTGCTGGACGATTCCCCCGCTTGACGACGAATCCGCTTAATGTTGAAGTTTTTGCGATCACTTTTGCAATCGCAAAACAATGTTTAGATGGGGGAATTTCGCTTAACATTGATCGGTTCCCTGTTTTGGGAACCGATCTTTTGCTTTATGACGATCAGCAAACAGCTGATTGTCGGGTTTCAAAATGACCACCGGCTGTAGAAAATGGCTCCCCACTGTGTTAGGGATGGATTCCTCGCATTACAGGCACCAGAAAATGGCCGCCGTATGGAGGATCTTTGCTGGACGAGCAGGTATTTCGCCCATTGGAACGCATTGAACGGTTTTCAGTGCGTTTCAATGTTTTTTTTATTTTGCTTGACCTTGTTTTCGTTCTACAATGATTTCGCTGGAATGAATTAATGTCATCAAGCGAGGCACCACTGTATTAGAAAAAATTACAATTATATCAAATTAGTCACAGTTAGACCTTTATACATGTTTGCTCCTTAACCTTCCACCAGTTCTCTAGTTGAAGCTCACTATCTTCTAGCTATTTGGCCTAAAGACTGAGAAGGAAAGACATCTAGCTATCTATTCCAATATGCCTGGAGACATGGGGGAATGTGGAGGAGAACTGATCCAGAAGAATCCAGAGGGGATAATCAGAAGGAATTATGTGATGCAGACTAGTGAAATCAAGTAAGAGAGAGAGAGAGAGAGAGAGAGAATGAGAGTGTGAAGGCCAAAGGCCCCAGAACAGCGAACAATACATGAGAACAAGCGAATTGAGATGTCTCTGTGTGAACATGAATGTAACTACGAATGAATGTTATTCTAAATCTGAGTCTCCTTGTCCCAATCAACAGTTGCTTTTTGCACCACTTATGTCCGAATTTTTTGGCATTCTGGCTGGCCTATTTACTTTCTGGCCTATTTAATTTTTGAATTGTGGTGCTGGAGGAGGCTCTTGAGAGTCTCCTGGACTGCAAAGAGAACAAACCTATCCATTCTGAAGGAAATCAACCCTGAGTGCTCACTGGAAGGACAGATCCTGAAGCTGAGGCTCCAGTCTTTTGGCCATCTCATGAGAAGAGAAGACTCCCTGGAAAAGATCCTGATGTTGGGAAAATGTGAAGGCAAGAGGAGAAGGGGACGACGGAGGACGAGATGGTTGGACAGGGTCATCGAAGCAACCAACATGAATTTGACCCAACTCCGGGAGGTGGTGGAAGACAGGAGGGCCTGGCGTGCTCTGGTCCATGGGGTCACGAAGAGTCGGACACGACATAACGACTAAACAACAAAATTTACTTTCTCCCCTAAAATTCATTTCTGTGTTGGTAGATGGCAAGTGGGGAGAAAAAGTGCATTGCACCACATTTGATTATTCGCGGAAAGTGAAATCATCCCTTTATCCCCTGTGGCACTTGACGTGACCGTAGCATCTTATCAGGATACACGCTGGGCCTGGCGCCCCTGAAAGTGTCCAACTTTGCAGATCTGTCCATCCCGTTCCATCTTCTTTGTCCCTGCCAGAACTCTGCTGCCACAGCTATAATGCATCTGTCTCTTTTTGCTTGTTCCATGGTGCAAATGTCCAGGAATCCTCAGCCCCTTTTTCACCATCAGGAAACAGCCAATCATGCTGTTTAAGAAAGAAACCAAAGATTTCCTCCATGCTGTTCCATAGGCAGGCCATTGTACAGGTGGGTAATCCATTCCATAGGCCACATCTCTGTAGGCCAGTTCAGTCCGCATGTCCATAGGCCTTCTGCGTAGTGTACCCTTACACCTTAAAGGAGGACCTGATTAACGAAACAGAAGATTCAAGATGTTCACAATTTCTTTCAGAATAAATTCATGTTTTGTTGACCGATCATAAATTCTTCCAAACCTTAGTGCTGTTGATCTTCGTGTTTACTGTGTTTGTGTGTAATTTAAACACTTTTTAAAGCAAAGGAATGAGGTAAGGCTGCCCTTTGCTTTCCCCCCTATCTCTGTTTCCCCCCCCAGAGGAATTGGAAGGTTATCAGGATTAATAATATCGAACCCTTATTTTATTTGTCCAGAAGTTAATTGTAAGGCACACACTATAAATCTGTGTGCTCAAGGTATCCTTTTTCTGCAAAACCTCAAGATTGCTATTTGTTCTTCAGAATTAACACTTAAACTGTTTCAGATTCATACTTGTTTATGAATAAAGGGATCAATAAATGTATCGATGTCTATGTTGGCTTGGGCATGTTATGAGAATGGCTGAGGGTTGGATTCTAAAAGATCTCCTGTATGGAGAATTAGTGCAGGGAAATTGCCCCAGAGGGAGACCACAGCTGCGATACAAGGACATCTGCAAGAAGGATCAGAAGGCCTTAGGAATGGACCTCAACAGATGGGAAGACCTGACATCTGAGCTTTCAGCCTGGAGGCAGGCAGTGCATCGTGGCCTCTCCCAATTTTAAGAGATCCTTGTCCAGCAGGCCGAGGCAAAGAGACCGTCCTGAAAGCAGCAAAATCAAGGAGCCGGACAGGGGACAGATTGGATTTGTCTTCAGTGTGAAAGGGTTTGTCACTCTGAAAGTGGCCTTCTCAGCCACACTAGACGCTGTTCCAAGTCCTCCATGCAGAGCACGTTACCATAGGCTCTCGAGACTGAAGGATGCCTAATCTAAAAAATAAAGGGATCAGTAACCCATTTCTGCATACAATGGTGCCTCGCATAGCGATGTTAATCCGTGCAGCAAAAATCGCTGCTAAGCGATTCGTCGCTATGCAATTTTAAAAAGCCCATAGAAATGCATTGAAACCCCTTCAATGCATTCCTATGGGCTTACAACTAACCTTTAAGCGAAAATCCTCCATAGCGCCACCATTTTCTGTGCCTCTAAAGTGAGGAATCCGTGCGAAAACACAGCGGGTGGCCATTTTGTTTACCCAGCGGCCATTTTGAAACAGCCAATCAGCTGTTAAAAAATCATCGCTTTGCGATGATTGGTAAGCAGAACAGGGAACCGATCATCGCAAAGCAAAATTCCCCCATAGGGAACATCGCAAAGTAATGGCTTTGGCGATCGTAAAAACTTCGTCACTATGCGGTTTCGTCGCTAAACGGAGCACCCGTTAAGTGAGACACCACTGTATTCTCTACCTGGAAAACCCTGAAAAGCGTTGCCATGAGTCAGAATTGACTCAATGGCATGTGATGATCATTATTATTATGAATAAAAGATTTGAAGACTAGGCTCCTCTGCTTAAATACCCCCCTTAACTGTACAACAGAAAGTTTAGGACTTGTGTAAGATTTGTGATGTTATTTACACTTGAAATATTTGAGTATAGTAATCAATTCGAGTGAAGCGAAAAGTAGTGACTAGAGATGGGCATGAAACAACCCACGAACCGAAAAAATCTGATAAACCAGGGTGGTTCATGGTTCGTTTCTGAACCTCGTTAGGGAGATAATACTTTGCCAAAGCAAAACAGAACACTGAACCTCCCCCCCTTTGCTGGTTCATTTGCTTCAGCAAAATGGGGTGCCCAGCTGCTCCCTTCCCACTGCCCCCATCTCCTCCGCCTACCTGCTCCTGCAGCAGCCTCTGTTGCCATCTCAGCTATCACCATCGATGCCATCCTTGGAGGCAGCAGGCCTGGCTTCCTTGCCAAGAGCAGGCTGCTGCCTCTGGGCATGCATCACAACAGCAGTGACAAAGGTGGAATCAGAAGGAGCAGGTAGCCTCCCCCCCGCCCCCATCATGCACCAGAAAAATGAACCATGAACTAGTTCAGTTTTCAGGGGGTTCATGGTGGTATGTAGTTTGTGATTAGAAATGGGCAGGAACCAGTTCGTCCCAGGACATCCCAGTTTGTAATGGTGGTAGCAAGCTGCTGCTGCTCTCCTGCCTCCTCTGGCTCAATCAAGCACTCATGAGGGCCAGCCTCTTGGATCGTCATCCAGTTCGTCATCGTCATCATCCAGTTCCGGCAACAGCTCAGGCTTCTCTGCCTCTTCTCTCTTGACCGATCTCCCAAGGCAAAGAACTCTGTGCTCTTGCTCGTGACTGGGAGATTAGCCGAGGAAGTGGAAAAAGCAAGCAAGCCGAGCCTGGTGTTGCCACCTTTACGAACTGGGACAAACTAGGACGAACCGGTTCGTGCCTATCTCTATTTGGTGTTGCCACCTTTACGAACTGGGACAAACGGGGACGAACCGGTTCATGCCTATCTCTATTTATGATGGTTCGTGGCTAACAAAGAACCATCAGGAACCACCAGTCCATGCCCATCTCTATTCGTGACACTGAAAGTATACACAGGGGAAAGCTGCTTACCTCATGCAGCATGCCTTGCCATTGCTGCAAACTCCATTTTGGTATAAACGAGAAGGACACGGGGATATACAAACTCCGCCTTTGGATACACATTTCTCAGTCGTATCTACCAGGCTGAAATGCGAAAGGAAGTAAAGAGAGACGTCCCTGCTGCATGTTTCATCTCGACATGTCGTCCTACAGAGCAGTTTTCAAAATGGTAGTCATGCTAGTCCATTTAAGAGGTTGACAAAATTAAAAGGGAAAGAAAAAATAGGGTCTTAATTAGAAATATGAGACATGAACTGGTTTGGCTCCGTTCATAAAGGCAGCAACAAGGTGTAGCTGCTCCCCTTCCCTGCCTCGTCTGGTTCAATCATCCCCTCACCAGGCCCAGCATGGTAATATCCTGCACCTTCTCAACTGATCTTCTGGTCCCAGCAACAGTTCAGGCTTCTCTGTCCCTGACCTTTCCACTGATCTCCCACTCAGACCAAACAGAGGAGGCAGAGAAATCTGGGCTTTTGCTCATGACCAGGAGATTAGGCACGGAGGTGGAAAAAGCAAGCAGGTTGGGTCCGGTGAGTGGCTGGATGGCTGAGGAGGCAGGAGAGAGAGGAGAAGGACAGCACCGGTGCTACCACCTTGACGAACTGGTTCGTGCCCATCTGTAGTCTTTATTGTCCTACTGAGGTGTGGGTGGAAAACTCTCCTGAACGAACACAGAGAAAGACTTTTTTTATGAAAAAATGTGCAGGGAGGGAACAAACAATCATTTGCAATTCAGGAAGGATGATACGTCCCCTCAGGGTGACAAACAAACAAGAACCAAACATGGCCGACCTTTTACAGCAAACAGCCCATGGATGGCATCGTGTAGGCTTGATTGAATATGGCGGACACTCGGATCCGGTTATGCATAAGCCTCCGTAACTGAGAAGACACTGGACGATAGCAGCCTGATAAGGCCCAAAGTCACCTTGACAGAAAACTAAAGGAGGAAAGAGAGAAGAGGAAGAAAAAAGTACTCAAGTGGCTGAAATCCTGTCACATCACATCGTAAGTTGCAACTATTGTCCTGACTTGCCCATCCAGCTTTCTTTTTCTCTGGCTATTTGGGGTTTATTGCTTTTCTGGAGCTCACTATTTATGCCTTGTGAGCGAGGGTGGGTAGCTGTGGTTTTGTTTTCAAATGTTCGCCGCTCAGACTAGTAGTGCCTCAGTACTAGATGGGTGAGGTGTAAATGTAAAGAATACAATAAACAAAGCAAATTACTCACCAGCACCCCACAGATTCAATGAACTGACTCTAGTTGCACCTTACTATGCTGAGAACAGGATTTCAGCCAATGTTTTGACCTTTTTTTAAAAAAAATGTGATTTTTGTATTTTGGACCTTCTATTTTTCAAACATTTATGAATAGCTTCAAATAGCATTTGGGTCATGAGCCACTCATCAGATCTGTCCAAACTTTAAGGTGAGGAATTTTGTTTTTCCATGATGAGTGACATTTCCTCCGGAATGCAGCTACAGAATTTTAAGGGAGGGTTGACTGGGGTAGCTTTTTAAAGTTTTTTTTTTAAATGAGACATTGACACATAAATGTGCAACTTAATTTTTTTTGAAGGGATGGAAGATGAAACACTTCTATTGAAGCTCTACAGGAGTTGCTTTATTTTGCAAAATAGGTTGGTATTTTCCTCAACCATAAACCAGACAGAAATACACCATTTACCAATTTCCCAGTTGATTTCAATTTAGTCCAGCAGCTCCAGTAACAGTCTCATATTTATGCATTTCTTACCTTGGGTAGCTAGATATATCCATGAAAGAGTGGAAAGGAGGAACCAAAGCACCTTCATAGTTGTTTCGTTCAGCATTCAATCACATGGCAAGCCGGATAGTTATGGTGGTTTCGTGCACCAGGGTTTATATTTTGTAGAATTTTGGAAGCATGGGCCCTGGGTAGCTTCTCATTGGCTGGAGTGTTCAGGTGAGAATCAGAAAGGCTTTCCGTCTTTCTTACCAAGTAGTACCGCTCAACAACATTATGGTCAGAATTTTGGAACGAGTTCTTTGTGTGTGAGAAAGAGTGTACTGTATGTCCCTGTCCTGCCATTGTGAAAGGAACAGATCTCAATGCATTTGCAATTCTATTGTGGTCAAATGGGAGAATAAGGAAACACTTCCTGCCCTTTGTGAAAATAAGATATTTTGTAGAGTTCTTGGCAAGATCAACTAATGAGAATGTGTTTATTTTTGTGCAAATTCACCAACATTTGTGCAAATAAAGCTGTAGCAGAGATAACGCTAAACGATGATGACAGTGCCCTTGTTTTTTCATTAGGTAAAGGTAAAGGTTCCCCTTGACATTTAGTCCAGTCATGTCCAATTCTAGGGCACAGTGTTTATTCCCGTCGCCAAGCCGTAGAGCCAGCGTTTGTCTGTAGACAGTTTCAGTGGTCACGTGGCCAGTGAGACTAGACACAGAATGCTGTTACCTTCCCACCGAGGTGGTACCTATTTATCTACTTGCATTTGCATGCTTTCAAACTGCTAGGTTGGCAGGAACTGGGACAAGTGACGGGAGCTCATTCCGTTGCATGGATTCGATCTTATGACTGCTGGTCTTCTGACCTTGTGGCACAGAGACTTATTTGGTTTAACCCACAGTGCCACCACGTCCCTCTGTTTTTTCATTAGTCAAGGATTAGAAGCATCAGTGGAGATACATACACCTATTTTAACACAGACAGCATTACCCAGATTATTTTCAGCCAGTAGTGTATTTTGGGTGTGTCCTTTGCTTCTCAAAGTGGAAGGGCGCTAGCATTGCACAGAGTGTGGGCAGTTTGTGAAAATTAATAAGATCTTACAGACACTATATTAGCCGAAATCCTGCAGTGGAGCTCTGCACATGAAACAGAAATGAAAGGATCACCAATGTCAAACTGCTGCTTCCTTCAAAACTCCAAAATTGCCTCTGAAACCCTGCACAATGGCTACCTGTCATCGTACTTGACACCAAGACTAACGGGCCACGGGTCTGATTTGGCATATAGCAGTGTAGCGTAACCAGTGATGACTCTGCCTACCAAGGCAGCCGGGGGACTTACAAATGTAATAAATGAAGTGAAAAGCCCTTCAGAAGACAGCATGTGGACCACTGCACTCCATTTGAATCTTTCTGGGTGCTCTTCCGTCTTCCTTCTGCATACCTGTTGTACCTATCAGTTTCAGATGAACGAATCCATACTGTTTAACTTCTGTACAGATCAGTCATTTGATCTCGGCTTATATTCTCCATAACCCTGAGTGCTCACTGGAAGGACAGGTCCTGAAGCTGAGACTGCAAATCTTTAGGCCATCTCATTAGAAGACTCCCTGGAAAAGACCATGATGTTGGGAAAGTGTGAAGGCAGGAGGAGAAGGGGACGACAGAGGATGAGATGGTTGGACGGTGTCATCGAAGCGACTGACATGAATTTGACCCAACTCTGGGAGGCAGTGGAAGACGGGAGGGTCTGGCGTGCTCTGGTCCATGGGGTCACGAAGAGTCTGACACAACTTAATGACTAAACAACAAAGATCTGGTATTTGTGCAATACCTTATTTCTCATCCATTGAGGTTTTCCTTTGGTGATGAGCAGTTAAGAACACAAATGAAGACATTTCTCATCCATTGAGGTTTTCCTTTGGTTGAAGGATGAGCAGTGAAGAACACAAATGAAGAATTACTCAACAGACTAAAGGACTATCTGGCCTAGGATCTTATTCCCCACGGGTTTCAGATATTGTTTTATATGCTTTGGCTTCAGAATAATGAGTTCAGAACATTTTATTTCCACTCAGTCTAGTAATCTGTTCTCTCTTGCCTTCTGTACAGTGAATATTATGATCTTTGTGTATGGCATCCTTGTCCTCATAGAACAGGGAGCTTTCTTCCGCTTGAAGCAAGAAGAAAATAGACTGGAACACTCATGGAGTTTTACTGACCACACTCAAGGTCCATCCAGTCTTTCACCTTATTCCTCAAAGGGGTCAGCCAGGTGTTTCTAGAAAGCCGGCAAAAAATCTGCTAATGATTTTATGTAATAGACCTTCAGGAAGCACACTGTCTCTGAACATGAAAATTTGATGCAGCTATCCATTTCCTCCACTGCATATAGTCTCAGGTCCACAGAGCTGGGAAAGACCCATTATTTTTTTCAAAATTGAAAGTGAGTGGTGTAGAATTAAATACATGTGGATATATAGACCAAGGTCAAAATAATTCACACTCTTGTATTCCTGCTCGCTTGAAAGCTGAACAGTGAAGAAAGCTGACTAGAAAGAAAGAAAGAAAGAAAGAAAGAAAGAAAGAAAGAAAGAAAGAAAGAAAGAAAGAAAGAAAGAAAGAAAGAAAGAAAGAAAGAAAGAAAGAAAGAAAGAAAGAAAAAAATACAAGCC